TACGGACGAAAAAAAAACAAAAGAGAATCGTATTCAAAAAATAAAAGCAAACGAAGTTGCTGGTGAAAAGAATATTGTAGAAGAAATTTTAAATTGTAGCCCTGCAAAAAATCTGACTAGCTCAGAACTAGCGTAGAGCTTTACTTTGCAACTAGTTTTTAACCGGTTGCGGTTTGGACAGTTTTTTTTTTATAAGGAAACGTTTTTAAGATTCGATTTTTGGATATTTTTCCCGTTTTTACTTTTATTTTACAGAGATCATGTTTTTACATATTTTATTGAAAAAAAATAAAAAATTATTGTAAGCGGCACGCAACAATTTAAATTCGTTAAATCTGTAAACTCACAACAGCCTCCACCGTGATTTGAACTCCCGACCAACGATGCTTGAGTCGGAGGTCTTCTCGCTGAGCTACTTTCATATTGGACAAGAAATGAGAATTTGTACACCAGTTCATAAATAGTTCTGAAATATGTAGTTCGGAACTAACGCTTCGTCGGACTGCCTCTAAATTTTACTGCAGGGATATTATTCGACCGCAGGTAAATGCTACAGCTCTCATATTAGCCATGTGGAGCGGGCAAAGTGTGGGTGCATGGCACATTTTAGCATTTTAAAATTTTGTACAACCCAACCAATTAACTCGAATGGTAAGTAAATATATAGAATACGCTATAACGGGTATGAAAGGATAAGCTACTGATTGTCGCTAATCTGGAGTTCGAGGATGTTAGTAAGTATCTCTGTAACAAGAATGCAAAGTGGAATGCTCCTTTTTAGGCTTTCAGAAAAGAGTAGATTCCTTTAACAGGCTGCCGATGAAAGCTTTTGAAATTGACAAAGAATTTACATCGCTTTCAGTTATTAGTGAAGAGATATGACACTCTGAACTTTATTGTAGATTCGTTTATTTTCGGTTCCTCTGGCATCGTCAAATCGTCCGCTCTACATAACGCACTTGCTAGGCCACAGCCGATGGGTTGGAAACTCAAGGGCACTCTTGAGGAACTGTCTCTGAGTAATGCTTAGTATCCAGCTCTCAAGAAAATCTAAAGCTCCATATAAAATGAGGCACACTAAATGGCTAAGCATGGTTGAATTATACCAGGTGAAGTAATTAGAGCTGGAAGAAAGATATTGACACTGCCTTATTTGAAAATTTGCCTATAAAATTTGGCTACATGTAAGGCAGCCGAATGTAAGAAAATAAAGAGAAAAAGCGGTTTTATTACTTCTCCTGTGTGGCTAAGAAATTTTCTTGTGGTTTTTTTGTGAAAAAACAGCACAAGGCGACCCATGTTTGCAACAGAAATATATGCCCCCTTCCATTATTTCTTGAGGAAAGAGTGAAGCAACAGGCTGTGTAATATCAGATGTCAAAATTCCATGGATACACACAGGAAATAATTGAAGGATTCACAACGGTATCGTAAGTGTCGTATTCTTGTATGTCGTAAACTCTAAAAGCTTAAATAAATGTTTAGAGAACTTGAAACGCCAACCAACTATTTTTTAACACTGAAAAAATTCATAATATGAATTAGATGGTATTTTGCGAACACCCCCAATACGACACTTACGACACCGTTGTGAATACCCTAAATGGCAAATTTTGTCTTTGTAGGTAAAAATGGTCGAAAATATAATATATCTAAAAAGGTGGTAGATATACCAATAAAGTTGTAAAGTCCGTACACCTGTGATCAACTTTTGAACATATGAGCGCTTAGTCACCTTAGCGAACGTTGGGCGAAAACCTCGTAATGCAAGGTTGCTAGGTCCATCAGGTCACCCGTTGACCGTAGTCGGACAAGGAAACTCTTAGGGTGGAACTAAACATGAGGCTGAACTTTGAAAGATCTTCCTAACAATCAAAACATCTTTGGTGGTGCCATGATTCTGTTGTCCGGCGATTTCCGTCAGACACTTCCAGTTATTGCACGATCAACTACAGCTGACAAACTAAATGCGGCGTCATGTGCGGAGGCATTTTCGAAGCAATTGTTGGACATTTGTCGTGAAAAAATCGCAGTTTACACCTCGACCGGGCTCATCAGATAATCCACAGACTTCTGCGTATTTTTCCGGACGTCGCGCATTAATTCAAGGCAAACGAGGAATAATGCCGCGAAAAAAAACAAAGATGTCGGAGATCTCAATGTGACAAAAAACACAGTTATCAACCAGGATGACGTGGTCAAATATCTCACTGAATGTCTAAATTCGCTGGAATTGCTTGGACTACCACCTCACAATATGACATTAAAAGTAAGCTTAGTCATCATCATGTTGCGTAACTTTAATCAAACTCGACTAAGCAATAACGTCATCAAGGCAACGATCATCAAGAGTAAATACAAAGAAGGGGATGTTTTAATTCCGCGTATTCCGATGATTCCAAAGGACTTGCCATTTCATTTTAAGCAGCTGGAATTCCCCGTGCGTTTGGTATTTGCGATGAGCATAAACAAATCGTAGGGCCAGTCGTTGGAAATTTGCGGAATTAACTAAGAGTTTTCGTGTTTCACGCTGGGACAATTATATATCGTTATAATCAAGTAAATTGTAGGTGATACTAAGTTCACCGGGTCATCTTCTAGTAGTACATATATGTGTGTATTGACTTGTAGGTAGTTCTTTTTTCAAGTACATAGTTATCTCATAGTTATCTCAGTGTTGGCTCGCTGCTGTGATTGCATAAAACGCATCGTGCTTATATGGGAATAGTCTTGTCAAAGCTCATCCACATAACACACAAACCAATGCATCAAAGCAATAAATACATATGTACATAAGTAGTCAGTGGGGAAATTACATACATACTCCATGCATGCCCGCTGCACTTCTGCCGCACCATGTATTGGAAAGGGGCAACACTAAAGTAATACAATGCGAGAGCGGTAGAATGAGGTACTTTGAGATATGCAGACAAATAAACAGAGAGAAACTACAAAACAGCCTCAACAAAAACCACACTGCTTTGTTCAGCAATGAGGCAATGGAAAGGAAAAATACCCAAAAACAGCTGTTCAGACCAAAACAAAAAAAAAAACACGAAGATGCAACGAGCAATGTGAGTTTTACGAGCGCAGTAAAGTGCATTTGTGAAATGCATTAACTAGCGTTAGCTGGCTCCCTCAGGGGAATACCCTAAAAAATAAGCAAACAAATGCTAAAAACAAGAAAGCTACCTACCAACACACAAATATGTGCATACAAACAGACATTTTTATAGTTCCGTATAAAACAGAAAATCAGCAGATAGAGATAAACAAAATTCGCAAACTTCGTAAGGCAGAGTGAGCGGGATAGCAGAAAATACATATGTATGAAGCATAGCAAAAAGAAGTAAGGACAGTGTTGTGGTCGGCTTACCCGCCCGGCTTCATATCTGCAATGAATAAAGGAAAATTTAACTTTAATCTGTCATTTCGTTTGTAGTGCAAACGTATTCAATTTTAAAGGAAACATTAAAGTGAAAAATTATTTTTTTTTAATCAGCTCTCAAGAAAAACGAATAATTCATAAAAAAATATGCACAAGAAATGGAAAAGAAATTTTCATCAGCTAAAATTTCTCAAATCAGTTTGCGGCTCTCAAGAAACAAAAAAAAATGCTCATAGGTATATTTATTTCTTCAAGAAAATTTACAGTAAAAGCAACAGAAATAATAAGAAATATTTCTTGTGATCTTTCTTGAGAGCTGGATTCTAAGCTTTAATATGCAAACTGATTGGAAAAAAATAACGGTTTCAATAATTTGAAATCATAACTTTATATCTGAACAATCAGTTGTGTGGGAGCTATAAGTTATAGTGAACTATTATTGTCAGTTCAGAAAATTTTTAAAACATTACAAAAACACGCGTGCATATAAAATTTTAGTCTCGGAAACTGAGGGACTACACAGCTTGCGTTCAAACGTACAGATAGACGGACATGGCAAAATCAAATCAGGTCGATGCGTCGTTTGGGATAACCTGATCCAAAGTTAACATGCCATTTCAACTTCATGAAATGTATATAAATACAAGTATACGCATAAGTACTTAAAACAGTGACTCAAACAAGTGCTCACATTGAATTTTTTTTACTTTTTTTTGTTGTATTTTTTATAAAATTATTGTTTATGCTTTAACCAAAAACATACAAATCAAAGTTTCAAACTTTTAAAAACTTTAAAACATTAAAAAAATGTTATCAACATTTTTAATTTTTTAGTATGAATTTTTGAAACAAAGTTCAATTGGAATAATATGAAGACTGTTCGCAAAAAAAAAGTTTTTATAAATTGTGCCTGTTATAGAAAAAGAGCAAACGTTAAAAAACATTCAGAATAGAAAATTAAAAATTTTACTGGAAATTTTTTGAATGGTCCTAACCTTTGTATAAAGTGTAAAATTTTAATCTTTATTAACCATATTTTTATGAAAAAAATTTAAGTTGAAAAATTTTGGCTGCATTTCTTTATGCATTCTGAACATTTGGAATAAACTTTTTCGTTTACCTATTCTTTAGAACGTTCCTGATGATATGTTAACGTATGTATATTTCAAACCCATTCTGTTTATTCTGGCTGTGAAATGGGATTATCTAGAATGTATAAAGAAACGCATCCATTGTGAATATAAAAACAAAAATTGTGAATAGCTGTTTGAGTCACTGTACATAAGTACGTATGTACGAGTACTTATAATCACCACTTTCGTAGCACATGCAACACACACACTTTGCTTTTTATTGCCTATCTTTACCTACACTTCCCTGTGCGCTGCTTAGTGCGAACGTGCAAATATCTCACAGATATGTACGCATATGTTTGTTTTAGCGTGCCTGTAGGTATGTATGTGCATAAGTATGTTGATGTACATATATGTACATCATTTTAGTAGCAGCGTCTAAAATTTAAAATACACGAAAAACCTTTTCCACTGATTGAGCCACTTACACACACCACAAACGCATCACAAGTCACTCACTTAGCCGCTCGTTTACTTACTTAAAAATACGTACGTACTTGTCGCTTGATGCTCGCGAATCTCCGGTTAAAGTTGATTTTTTTTTTTGTCACTTTTGTGTTGGACTTTATACGTTTTTGTTTTGTTTCTTTCTGGTTTTTAATACACATAAAAATTAGTTATGCATTAAAACTTTTGCAGGTATCTATGGAATTATGTAGGTACATATGAATTGAATGTTTAACAGATTTCACAAGTAACTACAATATTTTTTTTTTACATTTAAATATGCATATTAGTGCATCCAAGTAAATATGTATGTTCGAGTACTTTTCACTTAGGCATCTCTAATTTATGCTTTCAATATATTTTTTTTGATTGCCTTAATTTCAATAACACACACATAGTAATGTTTACTTTAGAACTCTAAAATTAAATATTTGTGTACATAGGTATGTAAGCGTCTGCGGCCGGCAAGATTTGAGCTTCATACTTTTTCGAAGTCAGAAATCGCTGGCAAAACACGTTTTAAATTGTAAAAATGCCAACATCTTTTAACATTTAATAGTTTTTTTTTATTCTCTTTACACTTCTGCACTAAGACACTGTTTACACTTATGCAGATATTATACAATTTCATTTATTTTTTTATGTTTTGCTTCACTAGAATCATTTCACGTTTCATTCTACATAGTTTTCTCGTCATCGCCAAAACGCCGCCAAAGCGCCAACACAAAACCATCGCACACGCCGCACAAAACACAACTGAAAAACTGAACTGAGCGATTCGTGTTCGCCGCACTGCTGTCGCCAGCGATATGCTCCAGGTCAACCACGGGCCTATATCTGTGTGTGTGTGTGTGTGTGGGTGCGTTTGTTATGTTGGTTCGCATCGAAAACTCGAAATTCACAGGTTGTAAATACGTGCTGGCATACCGCCCCCTTTGGCGCACTGCCGCAGAGAACTTATAACTACTGAGAAGATGCAAATTTTGGTTGCATCGAACATTTGTCTGGAACGTTTAGAGGACGGAATTTCACCATTCTATTTTAACATTTCGAGGTTTCTTAACATTTGAAATTTAACATTTTTGTGGATTTCTCACCAAATGCTCCTTAAACAATGTTGCATGAACCTGGGCAAGTTGTTGCCGAGCAGAGAACTTTTATTAATAATATAATAATTTTTATGTTTGTAAATGCATACATATTTCTGCCGTTCAATTNTGCTCGTGGCATGCCAGCACAACATGTTCGCCATCGAACAAAACACAACATCGGCAACAGCAAGTGCATTTGGGAAAAGATTTACCCAAGCGCTTGAGTACCTCAACCCAGTATGGCATAGCTCAACCAATTTCCTCAGAAAAAGTTATTTATCTCTGCTTATGTAGCAACTGACTTTAAACAGAGACATGACAGAGATGCCTGCTGTTACTTATTAGCTTCCGGAAACTCCGGGTTCGAATCCCAACAGAGACAACATGTGAAAATAATAATAAACTTTTTTTTGTGCCTTGAAAATATTAAAAAGTATCTGTAAAGTGCAGAACGAAAGCGTATTCAAACGAAACATACTGACTTTGAAGTGCTTTAAGCCAAATGCATTTTAAAGTAGTTGAAATCAATCAAATGCAGAGTCGGATAATTGACTGCTTCCTAGGACATCGCCATGTTAAAGTCAACAGTTCGCTTCGAGGAAGAAAGTCAGATCTGCAATTAGTTGTGGTGGGTAAAAAACTGGTTGAACATCAATATTTACACCAGTTTCTTTCCGTACTGGGTTCTCATATACAAATAAATTCGCAGTCTATATGTTGCTAGTATTCTTGTGGCATCAACATGCTTCAGTTATCTGTAGATACATATGTTGAGATACATTCGACTTTGATTTTACCTTGGAATACTGGACTGAAAGTAATTGAACGATGAAAATTGTTTAATTCATTTTAGCCATATGTTAACCAAGATCCAGTATCTTATGAAAGAAATAAACAGTGAACGTAGGTAAGTTACAGGCAGCTTACATTTGAAGTCCCTCATAAGCAATACGTAGGCCATACATTTGTGCTGATTTTTGCAGAATTGTTAATCCTTTCACCGACTTTTACGTTTGGTGGTTTTGATTGGGTTCTTGATACATAGTTATTATTTAGGGGCAGGAAAATCGCATGACCAACTGCAATCATTATCCCTTGTGGCTTTACTTATAGTTTTGTCAAGGAAGAAATTGTGCGATTCTAAGGTATTTAGGTAGCTCCTTGAGATCGGTATCAGAACATAAATTTACAGGTTCCTCAAGAATATCTAAAATGGCAGTAACTAAAATGTACATCGGTACCTAAAAAACGCCCATGCAATCTGACAGATAAATTGTAGGAAATTTAGAAAAAGGCACTTTGGACAAGCTTTTAACCCCTAACACTTTCGTCAGAAGCATTTGGGTTATTTCACAGCCGCCTTCACTTTGAATAATTCATTTTGTGTTTTATATGGTGTTACCCAAGGTCTCTTAAAATGGGAAAGTTTTTACTATGGGTGTTCATCTAAATGCTTAAATGCCTCGTAATCGCGTAATCGTTTTTTTCATACAAAATTAATAAATTTACGAGGTTTACGTGTTTACAACGCATTTACGCGTTTAGGTGAATACCACTACGAATTTGTTTCACGCAACATGAGTAAATGAAATTGGGAAATAATCATTGACATAGAGTTTTTTAAAGAAATAAATAGGTCGAACATGGACTTATAAATTAAAAGATCTACGTGACCACTGCGTAAATTTTCGTCGAAAATCCTTCCTCTGAAATTTTTAAATAATAAACAGCACTACGAACTTTTATCTTAGCGGAGGCACTGGCACAACTATGCGCTAAAAATGTTCACCTTTCAGCAAAAGCTGGATCCATTTTTTTCCATTTGTTGAAAAGTCGAATCTTTGTCCAAATGATTAAAATGTGCTAAGAAATAACTAGTTTCTGGCAAACAGGCAAATTTTCCACGGAATTCAGTGAGCAGTCTCTAATCACTTATAGTGACTTTTCGTGGTAAAAATCGATTTTGGGACTATTTGGTATTTAGTAAGCTCTCTCACATCTCAAAAAAAAAAAAAAGTCACTAATTTGTCAGCTAGCTCTCAGCAGGTCACAAAAAAAAAAATATGGAGGAAAAGGTTTAAGATTTCTATTTTATTAAAGAAAAAAAACCGAAGATGAAGCGAGGAAATATTTGTTCAACAATAATTTCAAATCATCTCAAGTAATACATATAAATATATATGTCGTCCTTTCCAATGGGCATTCATCTTTGCTTAGGCTGTTGCTCATCTGTGAATATCTCTACAGTCACATCACTTCTTCATACATTTCTAATTCTCATCTGAATGACTTAACTTTTAGTCAGAATTGTGACAACAACAAAAAGCTGCAAATACGTACCTTTGTTCAATATGTATACACACTTATTTACATACATACATATGTAAATTCATAAATACATGAAAATTTGTATGAAGTTACATGCGGGAATTGTCACGTAACAGCGAGTAGGCGCAACAGCTGAACATATTTCTGACATGAATTCCCTTACAAGCTTATTATCGATTAATTATGTACATATGCTCTTGATTATGTACTTCTGTATATACAAATGTTTTCTCTGGAGGACAGTGGACATATGCATTTATTTTTTAGGTTTAGTTAGAAATTAGACAGCTGGCCTTGCTTGCTATGAAACAACAAATTGCCTTGTTGTTTAATTATTCACGTGCTAATAAGAACAATATTCGAATGGCAACATATATATATGTATGTATACACATAGTTGTATTCGGACGCATGCATATGTTTGTACATAAATAATAGATTACTTGACTCTTAAAACCCATTGTGAAAATAAGAAAAAAAAAATCGAGACATATGTAGCTTTTCAGAAACAATAAAAAAGGATATGGATATGAAAGTAGTAGAATCACTTTAACACAGACATGTACTAGGCGACTTTTGCAGATGCCTTTTAAGTTCGAAATACAAAAAGGTTGCGTATTTGAAATGCCTAAGAGCTCCACTCGTAATTATGTATTTAATGTAATTAATATTTCGTTTTCTTCCCAGCATATATCGACTTCATTAAGGTTAAAATTTTGCATTCTAAATCCTAAACTTCTTTCTTCTGCTCAAAGGCAATTTCATGGTAGAACGCACCTTCGAAAAAGACCTATACTTTTGTAAGCAGTCAAGGCAAGCGTGTAATCATTGAAAGGGTAAAGGGCTCTTACTAAAGGCATCGAAAATTGTTAAGTAAATTTTTGCATTGAGAAAGTTTATACAAATTTTGGGTTTCATCTGGGAAAGTATTATAAAGTGAAACACTAACGCACTTATTTGTAGATAGCAAAGCAAAAAGTAGTAGCTGCGACTGTACTTCTTAATGTTACGTGACCTGAAATGTCAATTGTATGTATAATAGCAGAGATTCGCATATGCACACACAAAACTATCTACAAATGGTTGAGTAACAAATTCTACGAGCTTATTTACTAATGCTCAGGTGTACCGTTATTAATGACAGGATTATATAGTACAAAAGAATCAAAAGCTTAGAGAGTCAAGAATCACTTAATTGCCAGTTACATAAGTTGTATGTTAACTCAGTCATGTAAAAGAGAGCATTTTTGGGATAAAGATAATGACAGTCACTTTCTATAGAAATAAATAAATAAATAAAAGCATTTTATACAAAGAAATCCTATTGAAAAGAAATACATACATATGTACATACTTATGTATCGGAAATGAAGAATTGTATGGGATTACATAAATGCAATGCTCGTTTTATTTGCCACCGCTTCAATTTTGTGCCATTTGTGGGCTGCCGTCGCCACGATTTGATAAGTGAAAAAAGAATGATACAAAAAATTAGATTCACTAAAACTGGAACTGAAGTTAGCCAAAAAGTCTTTGGGTATTTTATATTCACAGAAAATTAGAGCAAAATACAAAATGCACAGCTTTAGATTAATTTGGTTGAGGAAGGGCAGCAACTCATGTCTTTAACTTGCTTTTATATGCCATTTGAGAAGTGCAGGCATGTGGCAAAAAAGCGAACGAGTTAAAAATTTAATAGCTGAAAACACTTAAGAACTATCTACTGGGTGGTACATATAAGTGGTTTTATATACAAAATTAACAAAAACACTTTTATATTCTTCGTATATTCGAAAATACAAAAATTCCCATTATTTACGAAACACAGCAGCCCGTGTTGGATTTGCAGTTGCGCATCCAGTTCACGCAGTTTCCCAAGATGCTAGTGGCAGTTTCTGGTTATATCTCACGATTGGCTTGGCGCGCCATCCCGCCGAAATCGAAGGACGTCCAAGTCCAAATCGATGTCTTTAATTTTCGGAGACACAAAATCGTTTATCACGGTGCTGTGGCACTCACCGTTAGCCGAAATGAACCGAACTGTCGCTCTCTGAGTTTGCATTGGCTTTTCGACGATCAAAAGCAGTTTTTTTTGGTCCCCAGATGCGGAAGTTTTGCTTGTTAACATAGCCGTAGAGATGAAAAGGCGCTTCGTCAGAAAATATGATTCTTCGAGCAGAATCGAAGTTCATTTCGTTAGCAATATTTTCCAACGATGCTCAAGTGTAAAGCGACTCATTTCGTTCCGCGGATTTACGATACTGACTTCCTTCCTGTTAAAATTTCCAGACGAAAAGAGCTGCCAAAATTCCAAAAATAATAGCTCTAATGTCGCAGCATAAGACTTGCAAGCCTTAGCCCGGGCAGCCAAA